GCAGGTCAAAGTTGGTGCTGGAGGTGACAAAGACCCCAGGCGTGGTTGAATTACGCTTCTGGTAATAGGTCTCATAAGTTTCCTCCTCTTCACACTGCAGTTCTACAGGAAGCTCTTGCCTACCTGAAGTTCCAGCAGGGTTGCAGTCAGGACTAGATGGTGGTGAATAATCCTCTTCGACTTCCAGCTGGAGGCTGGCTTTGCGACCCACCCTCTCAGATGTCTGACTGGAATCATCTGAATGGTCCTCACCTGAGTCACAAGTGTCATTATCAGACTCCAAGTCTACCTCCACATCCATCCTCTGGCATCATAAAGGGCACTTACTGATGAGTAACTGTAGAGCCCAGAATACCAAGTACCTATGTCTTCTCATGATTGGCCCCTTTCATTCTCAGTTCCAATTACAGCCACCTTGGAAAAGAAACAGAGGCAACTTTATTAGTTACCTTTGCATATGTTGAAGTCAGGGATGGCACTAAGAAATTTGCCTACTCTCTCACCAGAGGATAACCTATTGTTTTGCTAAAAACTGGCATACAGGAAATACTTTTAACTAACATATTTAAAAGGCTGTTCAAAATATACGAGGGTCTCTTCCATCTTACCACAAAACAGATCTTTTTTTTTTTTTAGTTTAGACATGTATCTGGATGTCCCAGGGGCAACCAGTTCAAATACTCAGTTCTCTCTATGTTCTTCACTTTATGCTTTCACTGTCTTTGTGCTGCCCACCCCCTGCCCCTCCCCATGTAAAAACCTTTCTTTCAGGATTTCTTCATACCCAGCTTGCATTTATGCAAATAAGACTTCTGTTAATTCTGCATTTTAATCTCTTCCTATTAGTCCCAACTTCTTGTCCTGGAATCTAAAATTATTCTCTCTTCCCCTCATAACAATTATACTAAATAAAATATTTGCCTATCTGTGGTGTGTTTATCTGAACAAACTACATTTTATTATTTATTCACTGCTAATTAGGTTCTAACACTTTACAAAAAATCTTGGGGAAAACAAAAACAGAGCTGTACCCTCCTACTTTGAGAATTCCCCAAAGATACAATCTTTCCTTGCTTGTCTGTACAAATTATACTCCATGCTTACACAAATTATGAAATAATTTAAAGTGCATTCTGTACAGATTGGCACCCCTTTTGGCTATGTAGTTTCTTACTGCATCATTGGGTCCATTTCTTTTAGCAGTGCTTTGCAATTTACACAGAGTCCCAGTCTATCCTAAGCAAATAACCAACATGTTCCTTCTTTAAATATGAGCTGGAATGAGATATTCCAACTCCTAAGACTGAAGGTTGACTAACTCCCAGAGGACAGACAAGATCCCCCACAGGGCTCACCCTGTCAGAAGATTTATATTAAACTTGGGGTTTTTGCTAGAGTTATTTTGCGTGAGTGACACTACAAAGATCTATAATTATGTGCTTTCTCCATGACATTTCTTATATAATATACCAGCAGATTTCAACTGCAGTAGGGAGACTACAAAGCTGTTTCTCTAGCAGTGAACAGCTGAGAAAGTGGATGGGAATAAAAGAAACTGCAAAATGTCATGTCATTTATTCTCAAACATGGAGGTACAAAGATGCAGTCTGTTTTCCTTAACTGCTTTTGGCCCATCATCATAATTGTCATTATTGTGAACCTCTCCAGGATCTTCTAGACCAAGGTGGCCAACCTACATATAGCATGTGTGCCACACCTGGCACAGGCAGCCTCTGTGCAGCACACAGCAGACCAGGGAATGGACAAGCAGCACAGTGGCAGATAGGACAAGAAGCAGAAAGTGGAACAACAGATTGGACAGAACATAAGGAAAGAAGCAGAAAGCAGAGCAGCAGATTGGGTGGTAGAAGGGATTTGAGTGGGACTTGAGAAGGAGGTGAAACTAACTTGCGGCCTCCAGAGTCCTGTCAGAAATGCTGCCCCCACTGCTCTAGACCACTGGGTCACAATCACCTGACATTACAGGGTGAGCACATTTTGGAACAATTAACTAATTGAGAAAAGGAGGGGTAACCCGGAGGTATACTTACAAAAATGTAAAGCCAAGCCACACAGAGATGGAAAGAGTCTGAGGAACTAAGGAAATGACTAGAAAACTATGGCCAAGTGACAATGAGCTCTCTAGCATGAGTACACTGTTTTCTCAAACTGCAGTATTATCCTTCATGTGCAGGTTTACATTTTTAGCTGCTTTCCAAGGCAAGTACTTCTGAGCTTATCTTGCCAATAACCATGGTCTGAATCCAACACGTCCGTTTATGAGCTGGGTCCGAAACTATTAAGGAATCTTTAAGGACCACCTCTGCCAACTTCATAAGGAGTAAATTCAAACACTTCTGCACTAACTTTTTGGAGTTATGGGGAAGGGATATAAGGGGAGAACATTTTCTTCCTAATCTAAGTACACCTTCGATACGCTTGTTTTTAAAGCCAAACGACGTACAACTACAACTCTTAAGAGACTGAGAAATTCTTATATGCTAAAGGGTTATCACCACATTCTTGGTTTGAATTTTTTAATAGCACAGTTATTGGATTAAATGGTGGATAATCTATTTAAACAGGATGGGCATATAGTTACATTACTATAATCAAATGGAATTTCTTTTAGTTTTCCCCTTAGTGGAAATATCTACAGAGAAACAACTTTTACTAGGAATAGGTATTGGTCTTCTGAATGTCTGAACATATGGAGATTCCCCCAGACTACAGACTTCAGTTTCAGGGAAATGTTCTGACTTCTCTTCAACATGCCCTAAGACTTGTCCTGCTGCCTTTGCACCTTCTTTCCATTTCTGACATTCCTTGCCCGCCCCTTTTAGAAAAGTCGTGTGTCCCAGCAGCAGGAATCTTGAGCTAAACCCAAACTGCTCATTTAACCTGCTCTCCATCAGAAATTAGCAGGAATTCATCCGTGGGTGAGGGAGGGGGCAGA